ACTGCCTTAAAAAATAAAAATAAATCCACCTTTAGTTCGTTTTTGAGGCGCAGTTGAATCATAACAATAATGATCACGTTCTTAGATCAAAGACAATTTTAAAACGCATTTTAAGAGTACTGGATACAGAAAACACCTGCACACGAGCTCAGCCCATATGAAAGCTACTTCAGCCTCAAACATAAATTTCGAATGAATGAGTAATGTTAATGCACTTTGCGTGAGATATAAATTTACTGGTATTTCTCTCTGTTATTGTCATGAATCACTCATATTCAACGGTTTAGAGCAACTGTTTATGCAAAACTAGAAATTGAATATGGCACAAGTGTCATGTGTCCAGAACAAGTTATCCTGAGGAGTTATTACAGTTCTTATTCAAATGAAGATTATCTCTTATTGTGAACTAATAACGCCCTAGTCGGCTTGTGAAGAAGTTTTGAGCCAGGCAAATAATTTGTTTACCAAGTATTAAAACTTTACATTTGTTTTAATCAACGGACATTTATTGCAATATTATTTACCTCGACTACCGAAATTCCATGAATAAAATTATCAAATAACTTTTCATCTGTTGTTGATTCCTGTTGTTGCAAAAGCCTAAGCTCTTCTCTGTTAGAAAAATTTTTGTCTTTCTCCCGATAAAACTATTTACCTCAAATTATTTAGTCATAAGTTTACAATGACTGACACCTCGGCAGCAAACGAAAGCCTGAAACATGCGCCCGAATTCGCAAAACGTTTTCCTTCCAAGGCCGAAGGCATCGCATTGTGCAGCGCCTTCATGTTATCTTCTGTCCTGATCATTACAGGAAACTTGCTCACTCTTGTTATCTTTGCAGTTACCTAACATCTTCGCAGGAAAGGTTTATTTCTAGTTATGAACATGGCGTTCGCTGATCTAATGTTAGGAGCCTACTCCGTACCCTTTTACATTTACTATGTTGGAGGCCGGAGAATATAAGCTTTGGACAGAGAGACAAGGCTTTTCTCTAGCCTTCAGCTGCATCGATGCCATTCTTGCGTTCGGCTTAATTCTATCTGCAGCCTTCACATCCTGTGATAGATTTTATGCCCTATATTGGCTGTTTAACCACCGATCACTGTCCACCAGATCATGCCGCATCGCTATTTTCATACTTTGGACACTCGCTGTCTTACTGTCTTCAATGCTTACTCTGTCATCGGTTTTTATTTACTGGAACCTGGTTTGTATGCTTTTATGTCCGTCCTGTTAAGTCTAACAATAATCAACATCGGGATCTGGAGAAATCTTCAACACGAAAGAGTTACCTCACAGTATCAAAACAGAGCTCTGTGAAGGAAACGCTTAACAAAGACTTCACTTTTTTATCCATGCTGGCTTTACTTTGTTGGCTTCCATTAGTTATCATGAGCATTTGAATCTATTATACAAAGACAACAATACCTTAGACGTTTTATTACATTGTAAACATTTCTTTTATTCGAACTCTTTTGTCAATCCAGTTGTGTATGCACTGAGAATTCCTGAGTTTCCCCAAGCGTTGCGTTCGTGCTGTAGAAGAGGATAGCAACCATACAGACGGAACAAATCGAGAAAACAGACCGAAGGACTGCACCTACAACGTCGGAGATAGAGCTAAGAATCCTTTCACACGATCCCGTTCGCCTGCAAGAAGAGTTCGTACAAGAAGACATGGAAACCCATTTTTCATTAGACAATTTGGTCTTATAAACTGAGCTGATATTTGTAAATTGGGCACCGTAAAGAGTTACGGGATTCGAACATGTAGTTTCATTTATTCTATGTAGGTGTAGTATCCCACAGTTTTACACAAGAATAAAACTCCTTGTAGCCTATTCAGAAGTATTGAGTTTCGATATGCGCTAAGTTTGTGTTATACATCAAGAAGAGACCAGCTGTATAGACGGGTCAAGTCGAAAGAAGAAGCCTATCGACTGCACTTAAGACGCCAGAGCTAAGATTATAACGACCGACCCCACTCGCCTCCGAATAGAGGTTGAACAAGAAGATATAAAAATTAAGGTTTGATCAGCTGAAGCAAGGGGACCATCGGCGCTCCTTCTGAGAGCACGATTGTTCGGATTGTTCGTCTGGTGCTCTCTAAAAACAATAAAATAAAACCTTTAACAACACCAACAGCAGTCATATGATAAGATAAGGTCTTCTACCACCTCATAGCTTTGCGATGCACACTGCGGGTGTTAGGATCTGGTCAGATCGGTCCACTGCATTCATGTACTGATTGTACATTGCAAAGAACTTAGGCTGAGGTACCTCTTTTGAACTCCACACACCACCAGATCTCTTTTTGTGATTTACCTGAACAGTGTCATTAACATTACCAGAAGTGTGATCATAGAGACCACTTTATTTTCGACCCACTGCAAGGCTGGGCAGGGCGGAGCCCTCTCCCACCGTATACTACCTCTGGCTTTACCCTTTCCCCAATGCTTTCACTTCTTGAGATTCGCTGGAACATAGTAAATAAATGCATGCTTCATGAAATGAACTGAAGTATAAAAATTGTGAATATACAGCTGATAACCTTGATTATAGTAAGGACAAATAAGTTGAACAGCAGCATCACGCCCCAGCCCAAATTTACTGATCCCTCCTAGAGCATCTTTCCCAATATAAATGTTGAAGTCTATGGTATAACCATTAGAACTACCAGCAAGTACCCACTGTTTTATTCCCCACTTGTTTGGTTTATCCTTTATGTACTGCCTGACTGAATGGGGTAGTACTGCATTAACCTTAAATGCTGAGTTGAAACGCTTGTTTAAAAGTGACAACGAAAAGCATAGGAGCTTACTGAATGGTAAGTTTGTCATCATACTAAACAAAAATGTGCTGTAGTGGTTACTGTCGTTTGATTATGAAGCTAACAAGGAGATCACAATGAACGGAAATGATAACGCTGTGCAAACTGTTCCTGCAATKGGTTAGGCAATTTCTGCTGGAGTTACGTTGTTATATTTCTGTTTTACGTTCAAGCTCCCGTGTTCGCTTAGCGTAAGTAAGGTTTTCATCAAACAGGGATCCTCGATACCCGAAATTTACGACCGTAGCATCACATTTAGAGCTAGTTTTTCCAAAAATGTGTAACTCAGTCTGCAAACTCTTTAAACTTATGAATATTTAGATGAAGTTGAAGTAGATTTAATGTTTCTCGGCTTTAGCTATGGGTCTTAATGAGATCCATCTTAAAAGAAGAGGATCGTTGATGGGAAAATTTTGTTTAAATCAGTAACCGACTCTATAACTTTTTTATTCTGAAGTTATTTAACACCAAAAAATTCTGAGTTTGTAAGTTAAATGATGAACATAGGGGAAATATGTTCCAGTTTCCAGAGGCAGGGTTTTTTACCTAAAATTTTTGTTTGCGAGAAAAAAAAACGCGCCTTTTGATTATTTTAGATACTCCTACCTTATTTCCTTAAAAATAATTTCTATCACGAATGGTTTTTTCTGAATTATTGGGAAGGGAATTTATGAAATTATCAACCCCTTTGTAGTATAAAATTTTACATAAAACACAGTTGCAAGCATCCTCGCATCCAAATTTACAATGTGTATTATTATTACTAGTATTGGTTACTTCTATTTAGTACAAATAGACTTATTTCTGGTTGGTTAAGACAGTGCACTAGTTATCTCTATTCAGGTCTAACAATGACTTACAGCTGCCTTACGTTTGTTTCGAAAATGATGCTACGACGTTTCGATAAAGCCACAAGGAAAGTATTTGGAAAAAAAAAAACAAAAATCATTTTCCCTATTCATTATTTTTCCAATTTTTTCCCCAGTTTTCATATTTATTAAGATTAAAATCGTTTGGTTGGTCTTCCTGTTCCTGACCCATGAGGAAAATAAATAGTGGGATTTTAATTGAAATGCAAAGCACCTGCAATGCAAAATCTACAAATTCGAGGAACAGAATTAGCTCCTTTTTTGAATTAAGCTTCAATTTCCTTTAGTAGAGGAAATATTTTAGATATTTTATTATTATTCAAGTTTGTGACTCACAATGACCAGATAAATTAAAAAAATAAACCTGTTTTACTTGTTCATACGGGCTGTTTAAAAAATTGGAAACTTTGTCGCATTAATTACCATTTACAACACCTTCAGATATAAAAGTTTTGTTAAGTACAACCAATCAACTCAAAACGTAACTTTCTTTTAAAAGATGTGCTATCTTTTACGTTTTTTTTTTAATTTAACATCGCGTATGAATGAGATTATAAGTGTGCTACCTTTCCGCTGAAATAAGATCAACAGCCATGAGTAACCTAAGGCCTCATCGCTACCCCTAGTTGGAAACATTAATTACCATTTAGAACGACTCCAGATACAATATTTCTTCTAAACAACCGATCAACCCAAACCTAAACTATCTTTTTAAAAGTTGTGCTGGTTACAGTTGTGCCATCCTACGATTCTTGCTTAACATCACTTGTGTGTGCGCATATAAATGCGCTACCCTTCCGTAGTAATAAGATCAACAGTCATGAATAATCTAAGGCGCCATAGCTATCACTAGTCGGAAACATTAGATACCATTTAAAACACCTCCAGATATATTATTCTTTTTAAGTACAACCGAACAACTCAGACCTAAATTTTCTTTCTAAGAATTGTACTAGTTACAGTTGTGCCATCATTTACGTGTGTGTGCGTGTAAAAATGCGCTACCTTCCCGCAGTAATAAGATCAACGTTAACACTAATGAGTAACTTAAAACGCAATCCCCACCGTGTTTAGTGCCAGTGTCTTTCTCGTGGTATAAAGTTTCGTATGTCATATTTGAGCGATATATTAGAATATATCCCACTGCAAGATGCAATAAGCCAGGTGTTACAGCCAAAAACGCAACGTTTATATTTCACAACACACTTTTAATAAATGAACCGCCCTTGCTGTAAGCCTAACTGAACTACCAATAGGTTTTCGTCGGTTGAAATTTCACTATTTTTAACACATTATATGGGGTTGAGTGTCGTGCTTCGTAATTTTCCTTGATTGTTAGAGCGGAAGACGTATAAGCGTTCTGTAGGTGGTTTTAACACGTAAGCGGTCTTTTTATTTTTTAGAAGTGTAAAAGCATAAAACCTTCAAAGTATTGAATTCCCGTCCAGCCGCCAGGTGATTTGTGTGTGAGACAAATTTAATTGAAAGATGAATCTCCTTCTCTGAAATGGTTAATGGACTGATCAGGCTTCAACACAGTTACATCCGTAAGGAATCAGGCTAATTCTCAAAACCTTGGTCTAAAGCATCAAGCCTGTCCATCAGACTTTTCTACAAATTCCTTGAGGTAAATGGTAATGTGTCATACCTTAGATCACCCTTAAAACAACTCATGTATCAGTGTTCTTAAAGTGTATTTCTTTTCTTCCTTTCTCATAATTTAGTACTGGGAAGTCCCAAGTCAATAGGCTGGCAGCAGTTTTCATTTCAATCAATTACAGTTATATTACAATGCTATGATGAGGCATTCAAAGTTTCTCAATTTATTTTATATTTTCTTGATATGTTTGATCTTCACATGAAAAGAACAAATAATAACGTAATGTGAGAGAATGAAGGAATCAGAATGAAACTGGAAAAACTATTTTACTGGAGTCTTCGTTTTTCAGCGGGATGGCTCCTGTTAGAAAATATGCAGGAGTTTGCATTACGAAAATGGTGACCACTGACTTCGTTAAGACACTATCAACGAAGACCAGTATTTACATCCAGAATGGGAGGGGTTTAGGTCAACAGAATTACGAAATAAAATAGGAATTTTTTTAACTTAAACACAAGCATGAACATGGACGTAGAGCATGACCTGCAATTTAATTCTTAGATTCATTGCTAATTATCTATCATGAGAAACCACATTTAACTGTTTCCCGAAACTCCGTTGACATCCCAAAAGATCGTTGCTCTAATAAGTGTAAAATCAACTCAAATAAATATAAATTGGTTAATTTTTTTTTGTAAGAGTTTGCAATAGATTCCTTTCTCTCCATCCCTGTTTGTTAGTTTCGAATTAAATTTAAAGGATCACGAAAGTTACGTTTGCACATAATTCATAAAAATAATAATAATGATTTTCTCATTCCAATAAAGCTAAACTACAGACCAAACAGAAATTAAGCATGGAATTAAAAGAGATCGAAGGGATCATCCTCACAGTCCTTTACGCCATCACGATGCTCGGAACATTTGCAGGGAATGGTCTCCTCATCTACATCGTGTGGAAGAAACCTGAGGTGAGATCACTGACAAGCTTTATGTTCGTCAACATGGCTATCGCCGATTTACTGGTGGCATTGATTGTGATGCCCTGGTCGATTGCCCATGTATATACAGACGGCTTATGGATGATACCGGGAGTATTTGGAGAAGTCATGTGCAAAGGTGTGGTATACATTGCCTATGCCACATTAACAGCGTCCATTCTCTGTCTGACAGTCATGGCAGTCGATAGGTACTATGCCATTGTTCATCCCCTTCGTCGCTATCTTTGGTTTCGGAAACCTATACTAACTGTTCCATTTATTTGGATCTTTTCACTGGCTTCAATGTCCCTTTTTCCAGCTGTTCAAACCGTGGAAGACCACAATTCCCAATGCATGCTATCTGTTTACGTTTTGGGTGATCCAGATGAGGCTATCCGAGGCATATACCTCTACCTTGTGGTATTGAACTATCTGATCCCTTTGAGTGTCATTTCTTTTCTGTACACTATAACTGCAAGGAGGTTATGGTTCCATGTCGCACCTGGAAATCAGCATTTAACAGGGAATCGACAGCAACTCGAGACATCTAAGAGAAGAGTGGTTCGGATGCTCATTATTGTAACCTGTGCGTTTTCCTTTTGCTGGCTTCCTGCACACGTGGTTCACATGATAATTGTCATGAAAGCATGGAACGTTAAGGTAACCCTTCAGCCGATTGTCATGTTTGTGTGTTTTTGGTTTGGTCACGCTAACAGCGCCATCAACCCATGGCTGTACATTTCCCTGAGCACCAAGATCAATACAGCATTTGTAAGAATGGTGACTAGAAAAAGGAGCCAGTCACCTTCGAGTCTCAGCGTCCAAACATCACACGTCCTTTTACAACTTGAAAATGGAGCTGTCCAGGAAAAATCAACATCGCAATCTACATCATTTAGTCATTACTAATTCCATTACATTAAGATGTAGAAAATATTAAAAAACATATAAGTTTCAACCTTGCAGGATCAGTGTAATAAAAAGAAAAATCAAAGAGATTGATCTATTAGAAGCAGAAACTACGCGTAGCAGGATGTCAGTAGGTAAATGACATAATTGAGATGTTGATATGAGAACTCGCAAGTAGTAATAATTAGAAGCTAACTAGCTGGCTGCTTCGAACGATCCAGCCTCAGCCAATTTACATGTACTGACAAGAGCACTTTAGAAAACCATTTTTGTTGAGGGCAGGACTGCATGTAAGAAAGAAAAAAATGTGTATTGTGAGCAAATTTCTGCTCAATACCTTGTGGAACCGAATTTAACAGTACTCTTCCGTCTTGGTCTGCACAAAGGAGGCGAATAGTGTTGTGCGAGATTCTGAGTAAACCAGCTCAGACAATCGAGCTACTTATACGAGTTTGATCCCACTGACTTGTCAATTTAACTCGGATTTATAGATAACACAAATGCAAAAGGAACATCATAACTAGGGTTTCCTGATCAGCTAATACTTGCTGGCAGACTTATAACAAGTGGCGAATGAAGAATTTTCCAAAAGCGGTAATTGCAAAATTTGTTTCAGGGTACCGTTCCTCGAAAGTCCTGCCAACTTGAGGGGCTCGAACCCATATTTTATAATCAAAAGTTGAAGAATAGAGAAGCAGGCTCTTAACCCATAACCAGTCCATTTTGTTTCTTTAGCTGCTAGCTTTATTGTATAATTCCCAAAACGTTTGAACCCCCATCTTGAAACCAGAACACCTTTACGGGCCTGTTAAGTTAGCGGGACTAAACAAAAAAGTTAGCAGATTTAGATTGCAAGTTTAGATGTATAAGCAGGCTGAGTATCTTGTTTTGGATTCCTGTAAATGGAGGTTTTTCTTCAGTGCTTCTGGTAGCGCTAATCAGGTGTATTTGCGTGCGTTGTATTTTCGTAGTCATAATTTCTCTCTTTATTTCAGTATAACAGTCTTCAAAGAGGGCCTCGGATAGTTTAAGTTTGTTAAATTGGAAAACAAAGTAAAATAAATGATAACACGGATAACGTCTTCTGATGATAATTGTACTGTACCAATGTTTTTCATTCTGTGGCAAGCCGGTAGGATATGCTAGGATCTTTCTTGTCCTTTTAATTTTCGTGGACGGGCATGACAGAAACGTTTAGTTATAAAAACCGTATTAACTCGGAAGATGTGACCATATTATGCCATTCATAGGTCTTCGACATTCAATATGGTTTTCAGGTATCCAAACTGGGAGGGAGAAACGACGGCAGGCAAACGAAAACAACTATTCGACTAAAAAAATTAATTTTTTTGGATACCCATATGCTTATTCATTTATATTTCCATCAAGATCCAGTGCGATAGACATGTGAAATAATTTTCAACTGGAGGAAGGGGGGTTTACCGAGACTTTTTTCAATTAAACTTTTTTTCTTGTGCAGTCTTTTTAATTTATGTCCTAAACTCCACAAGAAAACTTTCTCTTCGTGAGGGTTGGAGCCAACAAACAATCTCTTCATCGTCGAACGATTCAGATCTCACGCACGCTATTTGAAGGGAACTTCGAGATAAATATTTCCATAGTTATTCGTGTCAAACGAAACTAGTCATGTTACCAAAAGGCAGTAAACCTGGCTTTTATTACATTGTGTTACTGCGACATTATTTTATCAGAAAATTTTGCAATAAGACGGTATTGTTTCTATCATTAATCTTTCACAAAGAGTCGTGGTTAATAAGATTAATTCTGAAAGCGTCCGCATAAAAGCGAGATTCCCAACCATGGTAAATCCACCCACTATGAAACCTTACTAATAAGGTCTTTTACCATTAGTCGTACCAATAAAGATGCTTAGGTAAGTGTACTGAGTGGCACATTGAAAATATGAAAGACTCTGTAACCAAGCAACAACGTATCGTTCATATCCATAAACGTTTACATTCTCAATGATTCGGAAAACTGTTTTTGCTTTTTTTACTGAGAAAAAAGAAAACAACAACAATATTTGTTATTTCAAAGCTTGACTAATGTCTCCCTTATCGATTATTCACACAGGTCCTCACCTACACGTCGTTAAAATACCGAATGCTGTCAAACGTCCATTTATTTTCATTTCAATTGTTTTTATCTGTAGACGGCGTAAGAAAATTGAAAGAACAAAATATATGAGAGAAGCTTTTGTTATGGAAGAGGAAATTCTAATCAATGTTCTGGCGCCTTCTGTATTCCTGCTTGTTAATGGACGTAATTGCATTTTGTTTGTTCGGTGCATTACTACTTGTGCTACTAAATTACCCCACACAATGTAGTTCTGTGAATGGCTGACAGCTGTTCAACTCGATAAAATCACCAGGAAATAAAATGACCTACAACTTGATCATTTTTCTGCTTCCACTGAAAGCAAATTATTCTTTTATAGTTTCCCAATAATATATGTTTTCATCAGCGTAAAAAATAAGATTTTGAAGTCAAGGTTGCGTCAAAAACACCTCAATAAAGCTTCATTTATTGCCCGACCGCGTTCAAAGAGCGCTAGCTTTAAAACTGGTGCTCAGACCCTCGTACCGTTTTGTCATTCGCAATTTTGTATTGTTATGTGGTTCAGTCCCAGGCTTTCGTTCCTGTTCTTGGTTTTAGTGACATCCATGCGCGAACTTAGGCGCCTGAAATGTTAAAAAAAAATAAGCGTAGCCTTCGAACGGTTTCCACACGGAGTTACTACCAAACCCACATGCAGGTGAAAAGTATTTGAAAAGCATGGCCTGGGCCGACCGCGGTTGAAACTCGGTCGAGTTTTCTTTTCATCGCGGTCACAAATTTCGACATCCCCAGTCCCTCAGAATATTGTTGACTCTTAAAAGGGAGACTAGATTTGTTGTTTGAAAAGCTGCCTACAGATAGCAGAGCTTTATTCACTTTTTTTACTGAAATTCGATAAGAAGGTAAGAATCGTTCTAGGCAAGGTTTCCGCATAAACCCGAATTTATTATGCATTCAGAACCTGGGCAGAAAAAAACAACGGCAGAACAACAGAATGTCCTTAGGACTACGACTTCTTTTAGAATAGTGTGGGTTTAGAAGGAAATCTGTTCTCATGTTGTAACATTGTTCAGCTAAAATACAGAATACAGGGCAACTAATGTCCATGCACTGAACGGGCCAATAAATATTATGAGAGCTACAACTTAGCGCGCATATAGAGTATTCCTTGTTCTTTCATCCGCAGCCCATCCTAACGAACCAAAATGGGCCCTGACCTGAGTGCGTATATTCGTTAATCCTCTTTCTTTTATCCTCTGTTTGAGCCTAAACGAGCCGAATGAGCCTCAAGGTATATGCTTTTTTTAAAAGTGGCTCTGTATTGTGTACTTGCTGGCTCCCATTGGTTTACTTAAGCAGCATTGGTGGATGCTTTTGTTTCAGCTTTGAACTTCTGTGTGCTTGAGCCAGTGTGTTTTTCATCGAACTAATATGTTTACTTATCGAACCAACGAATACAACAATCAAATCAGCGTGTTCTCTTGTCAACTGATCGGCGAAGGAAGAGTCCACTCAGCTCATTTGCTTTTTGTCAAAATGTTAAGCGGAGCTTACCTAACAAACGATATTCATTATTAAGCGTAATCACTCATCGAGTCAGAGTGGTCGTGATTGTTTGTGTCTGTCATAGCCTTAAAGCAAAGTCTGCAGTTCAATTTACATAAGACGTGTCTCTTTAACCGATCATTATGTTCTGTTTTTCATGCGTGATATAAAGACTTCCATTGATTCACCGGATGGTTGCATATGATAATGCTGATGATATGGTCGCAAATCGATGCTGATGTTGTTGTTGTTTTTTTTTTTAGCTTTCTGCTAATATATTTAAAGCCGTTTATAAGTCACGAAGAGCCATAAATCGTTGCGATATCCCGAGAAGCTCATTAAAACTGGAATTATATATGACGTTCAAGATTCAAAATAAAAGATCTGTTAGCAATCACAGCCTGGAACCGGCTGCGAAAAAAGTTCTCAAAATTGGCTCAACTTGCGCTATTCAAAGATTCTCTCCTCGTTCATGTTTAAACGATACTCTGGGAAATTCCTTGTAAATTTCAAGTTATTTTAAGGTAATACAACAAAGATGTGGTGTACGGAATTGTGATGATATAGACTAAAAAGCGGGAGGTAGATGTAAATTTCACGTCAGCACGGGCTATGAAATAATTTGTTCAAAAATTTTATGACTGATTTTGGAAGTCCAGTGATGGTTTTCACTGCCCATATAGAATAATGATCAGATGTGGTTGCTCATCGGAGATATTGGGCCTTAAAATACCCTTATTTGTGGACTTTGTCGAAACCAGAAAAAGTCGTCTTTACCTAAGTGAGAGGTAAGGGAAGAATTGAAATGAAAAAGTTAAAACAGTTCAATTTTCTAGAAGTCTTATAGATATAAAATACAACCCAGTTGATTAAATTTGCAGATGGATTTTCAGTTTGTCACAGCACCAATGCAAAGTTAGCTAACTAATTATGCAAAAAATGCAGGAAATGGAGGTTTTCCCAGGGGGGCCCGATATCCCCCAGGAAATTAAATATTTTGACCTATTATTTACAATTACAATTACAATTTATCACTTATAGAGCGCTATTTACAATGACAGATCAACAGCGCTTAACAATCAATCCTAACCCGCCCATCCCACCCCAGGGGAGGACATCCATCACACAGTAATCTCGTGCGTGGGAAATTAACGTCTCCTACCCCTAACCCTGTAGGAGACGGGACCTCCATTTATTCGTCCCTATCCGAGAAGACTAGAGTATCTAACCATTTCTTGATGTTATAGAAAGGAAGCATATTCTTCTCAATTATTTTAAGACCTTGAGTGTTGGTCCGGCCGGGGCTCGAACCCTCGACCTCCCGCACAACAGTCCAGCGCTCTATCCATTGAGCTAACCGGGAGGCGGTTACACATTTGTTAACTAATGATACTTAGCATTTGTACCAAGTTTGAGCCAAATCGGTGATTTGAGTTCCCATTCCCGCCCCTCCTTTTTCTTCTAAGAGAGACCAAAAAAAAAAGCCGGAAATTGTGTGCCACGCTGCACCCTCATCATTGAAGTAGTTTCCATCATTATATATTTTGGTGAAAAAAAGAATCCATTGTCATGTGATAGTGTGATCTGATCGTCCGGGTGAGAGTGGTCCCGAGAAGGACTGTTGTCGGCAGTGGTGACTGACGTTTTAAAAATCTGAGTGGAAGTCATCATCAGAGTCAAGTGAATAGTTATGGCCCGTCAATGTTCAGTCCAGTCTAAGTCCAGTTAACGTTCGTATAAAATGATTGGTCAGTTTTGCCGTGATGTTATTGGCTGAGGGACTCAAACGGCGTTAATCGGTCGTCAGTGATTTGATTGTTTCGATCCGTTTGTAAAGTTAGGTCATTCTGCTCGGTTCGTTCGTAATGTTAACAAGTCGTTTGTATGGCGCTGGTAGTAGTTGACACACCTGTTGAGGGTAGCCTGTTCTACGTTAGTAAATCAGCTTTCCACAGTCATTCGTTGAAAGTAGTTAGTGCTGTAGATCGGGCTCTGCGCAGAGTCCCAGTCAATAGTGGGGCTCGCAAGTCTCTGACGTTAAGCAATATGATTATTGACATCACCTTTCCACGTCGCTCGCTTGTATTCAGTCAGACTTGTTGTGAGGTTTCTTTCCGTTTCCCCGATGTAGGAGGCGTGGCAGTCGGAGTAACTGATGTTATTGGCCGCTCCCTGTCTGTTCCTCGGTTGGTCCTCGTCTTTGAATTTTTTTAGCGGCTGACTTAGTGTAGTCATGGGTTTGTGGGCGACACGGATATTGAAGGGTGGTGGGATGGGCGAGATCTGTTCTCAGACATGTCCTTCATGTACAGTATATTCGTTGTATTCGTACAACATGTCAAGCTCCGACCGAAAAATTGATCCTATCAAAAGTTATTGCAACCTTAATTTGTCATTTTGCAGAGGCTAGCGCCCTCACTCAATTCAACTTCGAGTCCAAGAGAAACTGCAGAC